ATTGGAGGGTCGACCGAACGTATAATTCGAAGACACATCTACTCCCACTTTTCTTTCATTCGAGCTAGCTCCTCTTCTGCGCCTGCTAGAATGAGCCATTTGGCTCTGTACTTCTTCATCCTCTTGTTGACCATAGGGGCCTAGTTATGGTGCATCTTATGGCATCTATTGCCCTCTTCTCTTGCCTATGCATTTGTATGGCCGTTCTATGCTGTGATACTCTTTATATGGCAGCCATTTGAGCCACTTCCCTAGTGAGATGAGCAGCTACCCTTCCATAATGGTGATGGGGCTGACTTTGTCTTACAACAGTTCTAGTAGCTTTTTCCTCAAAAAAGACCATGGTCCTTATCAGATACGTATTTACGTTGCTTTAGCTGATGATAGATACGTTCTTTTCTTCAAAGAATATTAGAGAAAATCTGATCATCAAATAACTCCATTTTTTTCAAGGAGATATCTTTCCAAAGCAGTATTTTGAACTTAGGCTGTATTTGATTCCCTCTCTTTTTCTTGGTACTTAATCAATGTTTGATAGCAAAAATTTTCTATGGAATTGCTTTTCCCATTTTGAGTTCATGCGCCAGGTTTTCCCACTTTTTAATGAATATTTTTTCTCATGGTTTTGGTGGTTTTACGTTTTCCATCTTTTTTTTTTTTTTTTTGGTAATAGAAAAAAATTCTAAACATAAAGATAAAAAAAATTTATTACTTTTATTGATAATTTTCATGCAAAATAAAGTTAAACGAATGGTATTCGGTATGATAATTTTTAAAATTTTTTTTAAAATTTTTTCTTTTTTGCAATTGGAACAAATTTTAGACCCAATCGTAGAAAAAATTATCACTTTAATGGACAAATTCCATAAAAAATAAAGTCAAACGGACACCAAACATTCAACATTTTTCAGGTGGAAAATTATATCAATCAAATAAAATTAATTACAATTCTTAGTAAAACAATTTATAGGCAATTCAATTTCCAGTAAAATATTTTCTTTCCACCCATTTTCTACATTTGCAATCAAATAGACTCTTATGGTTTTCACTTGTTCTTTCTCTACGAACAACACCTATCTTTCGGGGAAAACTAGAATATTTTTCCTGCAAGCTTCGTCCACGAGGATGATCGTTGTTATGTGTGATTTTTCACAGACGACGCCAATCTATTGACCTCAATTTTCGTAAGGGTTACGTGGCCAACAGGTAAATACTCTATGTAGATAGATTCATGAGCACGATAGCAAACCATTAGTTACTCGTGGCCTTTTTCGGTCGTGTGGATGTGGCTGTGAGCACTCCGACGGTCAAGTTAGTTAACGTTGAAGGAGAATGGAGTAACGTACTTGATTCAAAGATAATAAGGCAAATTGTGTATTTTAATGCAGAATTGCATTACCTTTCAAATAGTGTTGCATTGGGGGTATTTATAGGGGAAGAAGTGCATTTGGAACCGTTGGATGGAGGAACACGTGACCTCATCTGTTGGACGAGGCGTCCTCTCCAAGGCATCAATCAATCACTTCATAGGTTGGCGAGCATTTAATAACCCTTAATGAATAGATTTGGTAATTTGACTTATTGGTGTTTGCTGTGTAGACATCATATCAATCAATCAGGTGGATCTTATTTTGGCAGGATCTTTGTACAAAAAATCCCCTATTTAATGCGGACGAGATGATGTGATAGTATTCCAGTAGTATTGTTCCCTTCCATTGTTTTCCAGGGTGTATCACCTCGAAGCCTTAGTTTCGCGAACGTAGATAAGGACCATACCACCTTTGCAGTTCCGTAACATACACGTGGGATGTATACCCCACTTATTTGCATAGCTGGTAGCCACATAGGTACTAATCTGGAGCCTCTCCGTAAGAAGCGTAACAATATGTATGGCAAATCGAGTGGGGTAGATTAAGTCCTAGTATGTGGCTTTTTTTTTTTTTTGAAAAAACTTTGTTTTGAATAGTAAATTTTTGGAGAATGTGGGTTAAAAAGTAAGGAAAAATTTTGAATTTACATATAGAATATTTTATTGTGCGAATGTGTAGTTGAAAATGAATAGATAGAAAAAGAGTTTTGAAAGAACAAGAGACAAATATGGGTTAAGGTTAAGTTTTTGAGTGGGATATGACAGGATGTGTTTAAAATATTTGAGTGGGCAATCTTTTTATTTTAATTTATTTTTATGTTTTTCATTTAAATTTGTATTTATGAAATTAATTTTGAAACAAATATATAATTAAAAAGGCAAATGAAAATATTTTAATCTCCTGCTTGTCCTGCCTTCTAAAAATTCTTAATTGGATACGGGGTTAATCGTCCTGCCCCATGTCATTCATATTTCATCTTTTACTTATTTATTTAACTTTTACTATATATTTTTAGCGTGATTGAAATTTTTAAAATATAATAAAATAAACTAAAATAAGAAATAATAATTAGAATGGGTTTAAGATGGAGCAAATGCAAGATGACGTTGGGATAGGCCATTTTATCATCCTATACCATATTAAATTTAATTTTTTTCATTATAATACATAAAGACAATAAAGAATTTATCAATTTTATTCGTTTCTAAGATAAATATAATAATTTATGAAAAGATAAATGAAAAAATAAATATAATTTCATATTTAACATGAGAGAAAAAGGGATAAAATAGTAAGTTCATAGTAATAAAAGAGATTTTAGAAAATGTAATTATATTCACACCACAATTTTTATTTTTTGCACCATATTTTAATTGCACTTAAAATTCTTAATCTTTGTTCATTATAACACTTACATCTCTAACGATTTTTATGATATTTTTATGCTCAAACATTTTATCAGTTAATACATTTTATATTTGATAGCAATTATATATCCAAAAATTCATTGAAATGACGTGAAGTAACTTATTTTTCATCATATTTTTAAAACATAAATGAGTAAAAAGTGCGAAAAAAATATTTTCATTCATATCAGAGTATGGTTGGTGTTAGGGAATTATTGAGAGAAATTACTCAAGGCTCAAGCCCACACCACCAGGCCCATGTGAGGTTCCATCCCAAAACCAATTGGCAATGGGTGGAGTAATCCACTTGGGTTATATGGTGGATTTATTTTCTTCCCACAACCGAAGTGGGACTTGTTTGCCCCAACAATCCCTCCCTCAAATAAGGCTCACGAGGTAAATCACCACTCATCGAGATAATCCATCGTAGCATGACCCACTACGTTACCATGGATCTATCATCTCATGAGAATTTTCCACCACCTCGATTTTATCTAGCCACACAACCTGGGGTCTGATACCACTGTTAGGGAATTATTGAGAGCAATTACCCAAGGCTCAAGCCCACACCACCACGTCCAAGTGAGGTTCCATCCCAAAACCAATTGGCGATAGGTGGAGTAGCCCACTTGGATTATATGGTTGATTTATTTTCTTCCCACAACCGATGTGAGACTTGTTTGGCCCAACAGTTGGAGATAAGAATTTAATGGGAAAAAGTCTTAAAAAAAAGTTATTACAACGATTAAGAAATGGGAGAACTCAAACGTCACTTGCAAATCTCCAATTCCAAACTCCACACTAGATGTGTCAATCCGGGTGGTCCGGGCCGGGTCGGCCCGCCAACATGTGAGCCCGGTAACGGCCCACGTGAAAAAAAGCCCGCCCGCTGCGGGTTCCGGGCCGGTTACGGGTCGGCCCACAATTTTGGACTACAACCC